AAACGCGGAGGTAACAGCTGTAACAACTCAGCTCAGAAAAACCTGTTCCAGAGCCGGTGAGCTCCTTATCCCAGTCAGCTTGCAAAAGCATAGCACAGAACGAACAGGTACGGGGCTTTCACGGCGTCGTTGTTCCTGAAATCTACGGAAAGCACAGCCAGTGAGCACCTGAGTGCCCGTCCCATCTCTGCGGGTAACAGGGGCGGCAGCGTCTCACGGCCAACGCAGCACAGGAAAAAACCACCCGAGAGCAGGGCCCACAGCCCCTCTTGAGGAAGCTCCTACCTTGGAGAATATCCTCGGGGGCCATGGTCGGCGCTCAAGGCTCTCCGAACCCTGTTTCTAAGAACCCAGAGGCAGACCTACAGCACCCATGACAGTTGCGGCCCTGACAGTTGCTCAGTAGTTACTGAGCTTAAAGGGCCCACGGCCAAAAGAGAAGCGAGTGTACCGAGGGCAGAGTCAACTGGGGGGCCCCTGAGGGGACGATCGTGACAGGAGGAACGTGACCTCACTTTATCCAAGGGAAGGCTTTTTTCCTGGACATGTTTCCTTTTCTTTCTTTTTTTTTTTTTCTTTTATTGAGTTGTGCAGTGGGACAGCAGGAGGACTCAGGAAGCTACGGGCAATCAGTTAGGGAAAGGAGCGGCGGGCTAAGCCAGGATCTGGGTACCTCTGGCTTTGGTAAACACTGACTGGTAAGTGTCTGTTTAAACTCCGGGGGAGGGAACTCCAGCTACCTGAGGAAGCTGAGATAAGGAAGGAGGATTCCTTGAGTTCAGGAGCTTGGGACCAGTCTGGGCAACACAGCAGGACCCTGTCTCAACCAAACCGAAGCAAACCAAGCCAAAGTAACTAAACCAGCCGGTGTGGGGGCGCACATCTTTAACCCCAGCACTCGGGAGGCTGAGGCAGGAGGATCGCCAGGCATTTGAGGCCAGCCTGGAGTACACAGTGAGTTTAAGGCCAGCCTGGACTACATAGCAACACCCTGTCTCAACAACAACAAAAAAATAAAATAAAGCCACAACCCAACCCAACCCAAGCCAGACCATTACATTCCAGGTGGGGCTATAGCTCAGTGATACAGCACTTGCCTCGCATGTGGGAGGCCCTGGGTTCCATCCCCAGCGAAACACACACATACACACACACACACACACACACACACACACACACTCACACACACACACACTCACATTGGCACAACAATAGCAATACCAACAAATCTGTTTACAGTCACAGACACCGGGGCTGGGGATATAACCCTGAGGGAGGGTGCTTGCCTAGCAGCCTAGCGCACACACGGTAATGTGCTGGACCCCAGCACTGTAAAAAAGAAATACGAACACGTTTCATTAGGCAATGACAAACAACATGTATATGAAGATACATGTGTTTTATATGCTAATGGCACATGAATATTACATAGAAATGTGTTTCCTCCTTGCTTAGGGGTTCTGCTGTTTTCACCGACCTAATCTCAAACAAGAAAGCTGTTGTTTTTTTTTTTTTGACTTTTTGAGACAGGTCTCACTATGCAGTTCAGGCTGGCCTTGAGCTCATTTTGTAGCCCTGGTCTTGAACTCACAACGATCCTCCTGCCTCAGCCTCCCGAGTGCTGGGATTACAGGTGTGTGCCACCACGCCCGGCTCTTTTTCTTTTCTTTTTAACACAGGGTCTCACTATGTAGTTCAGGCTGGTTGTAAAGTCACTATGCAGCCCAGGGTGGCCCTGAACTCATGCGATCCTCCTGTCTCAGCCTCAGCCTCAGCCTCAAGTGCTGGGATTACAGGCCTGCGCCACCATGCCTGGCTTGAGAACCATTTCTAAGGCTCCTGCACTCTCTGTCACCTGAATTGACCCAGATTTGCTCTCTGCTCCCACCAAATGGCCAGCTGTCCCTTGCAAGGCATATTTTACAGCAGAACACACAC